TTTTGGATTCTTCCGTGTGATTGTGGGCGAACTCTAGAGGTAGCCATGTCTGGTAAGGGCAACCCCAGCCCACACCTCAATGGCTTCCCAATGGCCCACTATTCCTATTTCTTCCCGCACATACTGGGAGGGCTTTCTCCGCCTTCTCTGCCCACCCTACCCCTCAGTGGATACAGCACACCTTCACCAGCCAGTGAGTATGACATAAAACCCTTTGATTGATTGATTGATTGATTGATTGATTGATTGATTGATTGATTGATTGATTGGTTGGTTTGTTTTTATGTGTTGGGATTCCATTTTGTGTTGAGTGATAAATTGTGATATACTTATCCTTTTGTTGAGTGCATCACAAAAAGCTTTTGCATGACATCCTGGGCAGATTTCCATTTGTAGTATATTTCCTGAACTTTCAAATGGCGGTTCCCCTTGTGTTCACAGTACTCTCTTAGCATTAATGTAGTACACTGTCTGGAGTCCAAGTCCATATTTTCATGGTCTTGGTCTTGTCATGGACTCAAAACAGAGTCTGATCTTGAGTATTACAGCACAGGGGATGCATTTTGTGGTCTGTAATGGTTTGCATGTCTCCTGACTGAAGCACAATGTGTGTGCGCTGCAGAGGTTTGCATGACATTGACACAAAACTGGACTTTATTGACCCCCAATGGAAAGTTCCATTCACAAATGATTTTTCAGTTATGAAGAGGTCTCATCTACTTCTTTAATATAGCTTTCAATACACTCTTAAAAATAATGCGGTTCCATGAAGAACCTTTAACATTCATGGAAACTTTTAATTGCACAAAAGTTTCTTTATTGTCTTAACCAAGAAATACTTAGTATAAGGTAACTACATGGGTTAAGGCTAGGTTTAGGGGTAGATTCAGGGTTAGTACCCAGTTATTGTAATTGTTACATTAGTGTAAAACAAAGTACTACCAAAATAACAGTGTGAACTCTAAGTGAACTAAAACTAAATGTATCATTTTATTTTTTTTGTCCTGGCCTAAAAGAACCTAGAGAACAGGTGTGAACGTTCTAAAGAACCTTTTGTACAATGGAAAGTTAAGTGTTAAGTGTTCTTTATGGAACCATCAATACCAGTAAAGAACCTTTATTGTTAAAGGGATAGTTCACCCTAAAATAAAAATTACCCCATCATTTACTCACCCTCAAGCCATCCTAGGTGTATATGACTTCATTATTTCAGACAAATCCAATCGGAGTTATATTAAAAAATGCCCTGGCTCTTTCAAGCAGTGAGTGGGTGTTATTTTTCAATAGTCCAAAAGCATCCATCCATAATAAAAAGTGTCCCACATGGCCCTGGGTGGTGAATAAAGGCCTGCTGTAGTAAATCAATGCGTTTTTATAAGAAATATATCCAGATTTAAAACTTTATACACAGTAATCTCTAGTTTCCGCCTATTGACGTACACGTGTTCACAATAACACCGTTCCGGCAGATGACATACGATGTAGCGTAAGGTCTGGTGAGAAGCGACGAATGTGAAAGCGCAGCAGAGAGAACAAAACAAAAAATTACAAGTCCAAAATGATATGTACAAAATTAAGATTTGCAAAGAAAAATGTCGTAGGATTTCGATATAAGCCAAGAGGAGACTGTTTTTCCTTTGCTAAAGTAAGAAAACTTTGCTTCCTTTGCTCCTGTAAACAAACGTTGGTTCTCGCGAGACTATCAAATTCTCACCGGACCTTACGCTACGCTTACGTCCTATGTCATCCGCCAGAAGGGCATTCTATTGTGAACGTGAGTATATATTTTTTCTTACAAAAACATTTCATTTCGCTATAGGAGGCCTTTATTCACCCACCGGAGTCACTTTTTATTATGGATGGATGTGCTTTATTGGACTTCTTTTGGACTATTGAAAAATAACACCCATTCGCTGTCATTATAAAGCTTGGAAGAGTCAGGACATTTTTAAATATAACTCAGATTGGATTTGCCTGAAAGAAGAAAGTCATATGCAGCTCGGATGGCTTGAGGGTGAGTAAATCAAGGGGCAATTTTCATTTTTGGGTGAATCGCTTTAAGAGTGTAACCCTGATAAAACACAACTGAACCAGCTCATTCAGGTCTTGAGGATCACTTGATAATTACAGACAGATGTGTTGGAG